CATAGATTTGAACCACTCATCAATGCTATGATGAGGTTGAACCGTACCAATATCTCGAGTTGGTGCCTAAAATGAGGATTAGTTGTTAAGCACAGTTAGTTTGCAAGTGGTTCTAATTCAGAAATCACCTGATATTTATAGGGAGTTTGCATAGTACGTAGCTGTTTTTTTATTATTAGTCACAAATTGTACAAAACAAGAGAGAGAGATTGGTGGTTAATTTAGGGTGAAGTACATGGAGATTTTTCCAAGAGCATATATCGATTGTCTCTAGCTTTGGATGCCGGCCACTTTCTTTACAAATTAGCCGGCTGGACTGATATAAATTGGCATTTGTCATTAAAATAAAAACACTGGGTGGTTGAGTTGCGTAGTAAGTTTTCTATACATATTGCTCATTAAGAGGGTTTTGAGCTTTAAAGAGAGGTAATATATATATATATCCTTCCTTTCCTTGTCTTCGATTCCTCTTCTATAGAATATGCCACTTTATTCGATTGCATGGCAGTTTGATATAATAAGTGATTACCGCTTAAGATACCCAACACCTACTTCTAGTTTTATGAAGTTAAATTACATAAACCATCAAGCCATCTTAAACCTAGCTACGTAGACACTCAACAGTTTGAATATTTAATTAGCTAAACAGGTACGAGTTGTTTCATTATTTGGAAACGGTCCTCTGTGCAATATATAGATAATGTGAGGAAATTTTGCAAGTGAAGCATCATGATCGGAAAACCAATAAGCACAAAATTCTCAGTAGTTGTTTCCATAAACAATTTATAAGCACGTAATGCAGTCAAACTTACCGGTGTTCCCTTCACTATTTATAGATACAAGATTAGGTAGATATCCTTCATCATCCATGACAGGGACAAGAAATGAGAGTCCAAAAGTCAACAACTTTAGCAGTAAATATAGAGTCCAAAAGTATGTTCCTGGCCTTGATATATCGGTAGAAAATACTCGAGGGTCTGCTTCGATATGAAGGTAAAAGATGCCCTTTGATGAATCCAAAGCCATGGTTAACCTTGTTCTGAAGTTGAGTTTTTCCTTGGCTTCGGCAGCATACAACAACATCCATCAATTTTGATACTCCAACATATTGAAAGTTAAATGTTCTCAAATCAAAGAGTAATATATAAATAGTCATTTGGAAAATATAAAAATGTATGGCGTTGAATACGAGGATTTTAATTCTCGATTTTTTTTTTTTTTTTGGTATTTTCAGTTATTTTTGACAAAAAATTAATAGATGGACTAAATTTAAAAAAAAAAATTAAAGTTCAAAAATAATAAAACCAATTTTAAAGTTAAGAACCTCAATTTTAAATGAGTTAAAATTCAGAAGTGGTTAAATCCATTTAGCCTGTTTAATACATCAAACTCCCTTCATGTTATCAAATTATTACACATCCTTTTTCAAAAAGACATACTGGATTTGAAATAATATATTTTGAAATGAATCTATAGTTCACTAAAAATGAGATAGAATTAATTGTTTTTTTTTCCTGTCATTTTGTTTTTTTGGAAAAACCTATCAGTAGTACATATTTTTTTAATTATATGTTTGTGTGAAAAAAAAATTAAATAGTATAATCTTTACTTATTAATTTATATTCTTTAATATATCCCTCAGCTAACATTTTCATCAAAATTAACAATCACGTATTCACGTGCATTGAATTTGATATCTTAACTAGCTATGAATTGACTCAAACACCCTTTCTAGAGTACGTAAATAAAAACAAACAATGTCCCAAACGAGAACATTTTGATGAAATTTTTTTTTATATAAATAAATTAATATAGAAGAAGAATACATTGGTAGATTTTCTCTTTATATTATTGAAGCTGAATTTATTAATACGTTTTCCTATATAATTTGGGTTAATTAGTTTACAGCATCCCTTTTCCTACTAATCATCACATAGATAATTGGATGGATTAATACATAGATTTCCTATTTCCTTTTTTTTTTTTTTTTGCATAATTATTTACCAAACTTCATATATCATATATACATAGCAGAATAAGTTTTTAGATGTTAAAAATTTTGTGAGGATAAGAATACCCTTAAGTTGTATGATGTTCCTATTATACGAACCCATAATTATATATTTTTATTTGTTAACTTTTAAAATAAATTATGCCCAAATTAAATCACTCTTGATTGATCCACATATATTTGTTTTCCAAATATTCCTTTTCCTAAATAAATTGGTCTATCTTCCTTTTCCTAGATAAAAGTTTAGTCAATTATAGATGTTCATAAATTTAATATATATGTTTTCCTTTTTTTAGATGATCTGAATTTTCTTTTAAAAAAAAAAAACTAATTTTCCGAATTGAACTTGTGTAGTGCTTGATTGATCTATTTTCTTTTTTTTCTTATCTGAATTTTCTTTCCTTGAATAATTTTCCGAATTAACATCATGTAAAATGCCATAATGGTTTTTTTGACAATCAATGGTTAATACCTTGAAAATTCTTTTGTTCCAATTTTGCTATCAATTGGCGTTTCAATTAACTACATTGGTCTATACACCACGGACCAACTTAGTAAGTGCATTAGCTCTTTCTTTTTCTTTTGAATAAGCATGACAGTGAGGGGTGAAGAATAGAGGAAAAAAACGAATCGAATCGAACCGAAATATCAATTTCAATTTAGTTTTAAACTCATTTTTTTTTTTTTTGAAAAAAAAAAACAAATCGACTTTATTTCGATTTTAGTTTGTTTCGAAATTTTTAGTTGATTTAAACCCAAAAAAAAAAAAAATCCAATTTTTTAAAAATATAAAATAATATATATAATTAACACTTTAACATTATTATAAATATATAATGAAAGAGAATTAAGGAATTGTTTTGCTACGGTGGGTTATCTTAATTTTTATTGATACTTGTTGAGTTGGAAATATAACTAAGAATGATAGCTAGACTTATTAGTTGTTTGCATGCAACATGATTATAAAAGATATTTATTGATTATTGATGGATCACAAATCCATTAATATTAGTTGTCGGAGGTTGGTTGATTAATAAAACTGATCAGTTTGATGCAACAGGCAAAGAAGGTTGATTCGACATCTGATCAGTGGCATCGAACACATGATACGAAGAAGCGATGCTCCGATGCAGAGTTGTACAATGAGTTACCGCTTAGAAGGTATGCATAGAAGGTCCTCATAGAAACGCGTTGTATTTTTAGGTACTAGTTCTTAGAAATTGCTATTAATTTCATTTTAAATCGCATCAAAAACCATACTTTTTATAAGAGAATAGAAGTGGATACTTTAAAGTCATGAATTTAGGATGCAATTTAGAGATTCTACGGACTGCCCTAGTCCTTTTTCCAACAACAATATCTCGTTTAGAATAAACTCACCAATATCCCCAACAGTCAATACCTCAATGTCATCATACTCAAGCGAATAAATTGTCTATTATGTTATTTGTTTCCCGAGCCATCTCTTTATTTTGTGCAAGGATTTTTCATTAATAATAAAATATTTGAAGACTTTTACTTCACAACATCAAAACTATTATTTTTACTAACAAAATTATATGAATATTATATCACATTTGAGAGCCATAGTACTTATTAATTAGTATAGTACAAAGTTAAGTAATATTTTCTTTTTTTTAATAAAAATAATGATCTCTTATGTATTAACACATCACTCATCTAAATAGGATAAAACAATACAAATCATGAAATCTACTAATATTACATCACATAACTACTAATCGGTACAAAAATAACCCTATTATGTTTATAACCAAATTGAATTTCCATTGATTTTTATTGGTAGACAAATTAGCATTAGACTGCTTAATCGAAAACTATCTTTTATACAGACATAATTTTCCAACTGTAGCACCTTCATAGCTTTAGAAATTTTGACGAAAAAAATACAGGAAGTTGATTATGTGACAGCAAGAACCCTAATCAAACTGCAAAAATAGGAGCACTATAGCCAACCAATGAAATCCGAATAGGCTCTTCATATTTGCTAGTTCCACCTTGTGACTAGTTTTTTTAAAAAAAAAAAAAAAAAAAAAACCCAATATCTCTATTTTATATTAAAAATAGAATTAATCATTTTAGAGCAAAAACAATAAAATTTAATTATTTTTAATAAGTATAACTTTAAATTTTGACAAGAAATTCGCCTAAAGCAAGCTCGCTTACCACACCAATATCTAGTGGCTAGATTTTTAAATGCCTTTGTCCTTTCGATAAATTTCACTCTTATGTCAAATTAGGTAAAAAAGAGGAGAGAACTCTGATGTTAATTTCTATAAAAAAAAAATGCCTCTGTCCTTTTAATAAGATCCATGTTTCACTATCCAATCCACTCATGATTTCTCATTGTCACAAGCTAACATGCCATGCAAAGGCATAAAATTTATCCACCTTTTTAGATCTTAGCAAATCAATGCCAACTGTTGCTTAGAGGAGAATTTGCATTTGCCAGACATAATTAGAAGTTTATTGTTTTTTTATTCTTTTTACTATAAACATAATTAGAAAGGTGATTTATATTTATTCTTTTCTGAATCTTATTGGTTTGTCCATGGCCCCCATCAACCTGTTATGCCTCAATTTTGATGGCTATGATTTTATCCTTTACCTTTAAAGTGCCAAAAGTGATGAGGATGAAACATGCAAACAAACAGAGAATGACAGATAAAAGTTGTCTCGTATTCTTTGAAGTGCATAGTGTAACGAAAACAGAAGAACTACCGATAACATCAAGGCAAATTAATGACAAAAACAATGGGAGAAGAAAGCCAGAAAGAGAGAGACTGTCTGGATTTATCCTCGTATTCTTTGAGTTTAACCATCTTGATTTTGTCTGCAATCCACATGGCATATCCCTTACCTTTTTATACCATACCAAAATTCTAACTTCAGTTCTTCAAAAATCTTAAAACCCATCTCTGGCAAAGCCAAAAGCAAACCAAAAGGTGCTCACTGATATCATTCGACGATGGCGAACCCAAACCGGTTAGATACAAATAATAACCTTGAGACTCTCTTAGACTTGGAGAAATCGGTATCAGTTAAGCAAAATGGAGTGCCACTGGAACCCCGGAAGATGATGCCAGGTCATGGCCTCGAGTTCAAGAACCTATCGTATAGTGTCATGAAAAAGCAGAAGAAAGATGGGGCGTGGATCACCAAAGAAGCATATCTTCTCAATGATATCTCTGGACAGGCTATGAGGGGTGAAATCTTGGCCATCATAGGGCCTAGTGGTGCAGGAAAATCCACATTTCTTGATGCCATTGCTGGTCGGATTGCAAGAGGGAGTCTCGAGGGATCTGTTCGGATAGATGGAAAACTGGTTGGTGTTATCTACTGAACCTCTTGTTCAATCTTGAAAATATATCTGATATAGTTTGAAAAATGCTTAAATGTAAGGCATCGGTGTGCAGGTAACTACCAGCTACATGAAGATGATTTCATCTTACGTAATGCAAGATGACCAGCTCTTCCCCATGTTAACAGTTTTTGAGACCTTCATGTTCGCAGCTGAAGTTAGACTTCCTCCTTCAATTTCCAGGAATGAGAAGAAGGAAAGAGTCTATGAGCTCCTTGACCAACTGGGTTTAACGGTATGATGTCCCTTTCCCGACCACACACACACAGTCATAGAGACATGCGCTACATCATTTGTCAGTAACATGATTGGTTCTGCAGAGCACAGCACATACGTATATTGGAGACGAGGGAAGGAGAGGAGTTTCAGGAGGTGAGCGCCGAAGAGTATCTATAGGAATTGATATTATCCATAAGCCAGAACTGCTGTTCCTTGATGAACCTACATCAGGTCTCGATTCCACAAGCGCTTACAGCGTGGTTGAAAAGGTGAAGGAGATAGCCAAGAGCGGTAGTATCGTCTTGATGACCATCCACCAGCCATCTTTCAGGATTCAAATGCTCTTGGACCGTATCACAGTTCTCGCACGGTAAAATACACAAAAACTCAGGTCCATAGAACCTTAGAATTGTATCCATCCATCAGATTCTCTGCTAGCATTACATCCTGCTTATTAAGATATCAAATTATGCGAACAGGGGCAGATTGATTTACCTGGGAAGTCCAGCTGCTCTCCCTGACCATCTTTCCGGATTTGGAAGGCCTGTTCCTGACGGTGAAAACAGCATGGAGTATCTTCTGGATGTGATCAAAGAGTATGATGAATCAACAGTGGGACTTGAACCGCTTGTGTTGTACCAACGCGACGGTATCCAACCGGATCAAGTGGCACGGACACCGGTTCGTAAAGCACCAAAAACCCCCAGAACACCACGTACTCCTTACATGAAGACCCCTCTATCGAAGTATGCCATCAGCCTACGAAGCCAAGGGTTCTCGGCTACAGGAAATATGACATCTCAAGCGGACTCTGGTCAATTTGATTACAACGAAGATGATGATGAGGAGGAATTTGACAACTCCCTCGAACGCAAATCTGCTCGCACACCAATGCAAAGTGGTGTTTATAATCCCCGTTTGGCTTCTCACTTCTACAAAGATTTTCCAGTCTGGGTCTTCAATGGTGTCAAAGGAACTCCTCGCCAAGCACCATCATGGACTCCTGCGAGAACGCCAGGAAGGACACCCGGGAAAACACCAATGACTGCACCAAGAAGCCAAACTTCCAGCCGATACTCGACACCACAGTATGCCATCCCTCGTCCAAAAACCCCAGTAATTTCTACCCCCTCGCTAGACCCATATTCTCCTTCTTATGAAGAGTTCAGCTGGGACGAAGAAGAGCTTGATGAGCCAGACCATGGTCCTAAATTCGCTAACCCGTGGCTCCGGGAGGTAGCAGTTCTTTCATGGCGCACTGCACTTAATGTGGTTCGAACTCCTGAGCTTTTCCTCTCGAGAGAGATTGTATTAGCCGTTATGGCACTCATTCTATCCTCACTTTTCAGGGACCTGGGTCATCCATCTTTCCAAGACATTAACAGGCTTCTCAATTTCTACATCTTTGCAGTTTGTCTTGTTTTCTTTTCCTCCAATGATGCTGTCCCAACTTTCATCCAAGAAAGGTTCATCTTCATCAAGGAAACTTCCCACAACTCGTACCGTGCTTCCACCTATGTCATCTCTTCGCTCATAGTCTATCTCCCCTTTTTTGCCATTCAAGGGTTTACATTTGCTGCCATAACCAAATTCTTGCTTAATCTCAAAAGCAATCTCGTCCACTTTTGGTTGATTCTTTATGCATCCCTCATAACTACTAATGCTTATGTGATGCTTGTTAGCGCGCTTGTCCCGAGTTACATCACAGGTTACGCCGTCGTGATTGCAACAACTGCTCTATTCTTCCTCACCTGTGGATTCTTTTTGAAGCGCTCGCAGATACCTGTCTACTGGAGGTGGCTCCATTACATATCTGCAATCAAATATCCGTTTGAGGGAATGCTATCAAATGAATTCAAAGGCTCAAAATGCTATTCCGGGAAACCTTCAGAACTTTCCCCGGGCCCTCTAGGGGAGATCACATTCAGCCAAGTGCATAGTGATTCAGCTGCAAAACTAGGGCCAAACTGCACATTGTTTGGGCAAGATATTCTGTCCTCCATGGATATTACGATGGACAACATTTGGTATGACATTGGCATCTTGTTAGCTTGGGGAGTCCTTTACCGTTTCTTCTTCTACCTGGTTCTTAGATTCTACTCCAACAATCAGAGGAAATGACGTTGGCTTTTGTTTTTTTTTTTTTTTTACATATTATTGTTGTTGTTGTTTTGCCCTTTGCATCTGTTTTCATTCCAAATCAATGTTCGTCTTAAACTCTAGGTCATGACTAATATATAATTCATATACTATGACCAACATATAGTAGTTGAATGCTTAGGAATTTCTTGTTTGTTTATTCAGAATACTATTGGAAATAATGGAAGCTTGCAAAGTTTGGTGGGATTTACAAAGCACAAAGCTCTTCGTTTTTATTCCGTTTAGAAATCGACCCTAAGGCAATGACAAATGTAATAGTTCTTAAAGACAAAATACTTCCAATACGAACAAAATGTAAACATCATCTTCATTTTCATATGAACCTTTTTTATGGGTGAAGGAACCTTGGTGTAAAAGACAACCTTTTTGGCTCTGTAGGAGCAGAAATGAAATAAAAATAATGAATTCAAGCTGAAGACTCGTTATGTTTTGTTTGACATTATTACTATTGCCAACTTAAATATTGTAATCTCACACATTTCTCACTTCTTAATAACATTGTTAAGTTTGATTACAGAAAACACAAACGAGTATTACCAGAAGCAAGGTTCTTACAATAAATTAGCTTAGGACTAGCATGCATGCTGTTCAACCTTCCTTTCCAGTCCATTTTTATCTGCCCCCACAACCTTGTCAATCTCCTTGCCATTCTTTATGAAGTAGAAGGTAGGAACACTGCTGATATTCCAGCGTGCAGCCACATCTCTTGCCTCATCTATGTCAACTTTCAAGAAAACAACTTTCGGATACTTTGTAGCTAAGCTTGTGAAAATGGGAGCAACCATACGACATGGTCCACACCACGATGCTGTGAAGTACAGGATTGCAAGGCGGGAAGTTTTTGACGCAGCATTCAATTTGGGATCTAGTTCCTTGGTAGAATGAATGCCTATAACTTGCCCTGTTTATTTTATCAAAAAAAACACATGATGAGATGACCTATAAATGCCATTGTCCTGGAAACACCATTTAACAATTCATCCAACTTCACATATCAGTGATGACAAAGTTACCTCAACAATTCATCAGGTAATCTCCTCAACTTAAAAGGCTAGGTATAAGAAAAATCCTAGTCTCTTTTGACTCTTCAATAATTATTACAGTCAAAAACATAACAAACAACAACCTCTAGCTTTTCTAAATAAATATGCTTAAGAGCAAGAAATGGCTTTCCTATGTTCACATATTTCATTGTCCCTAGTTCTGCCCTAACAACGTTAACTATGATTATTCTCTTTCCCTTCACTGTAATTGCAGAACCTATGTATGCCATATATACACAAAGGGGTGGATGCTGAGCATCCCAAACTAGTGAAAAATCTACTAAAACACAGACGAATTACACCACTTGAACACATACCCAAACCAAACACAAGAACAGAAATGACGTAAGAAGCCCCAAGAAATCTGGCAAAGAGTGAGTTTGCAGTTTCCATTCTTTTGTACAATTTAATCACTTACAGAAAAAAAACCCTGATTATCCATGAATTTCTTCTTCCTATTTACACCAATACAAACCAACCCCTCCCCCAAAAAAATAAATGCATCAAAGTGAGCAGGGAACACGTGCTATGTTTTAAAAAAGTTAGGACCAACCCAGAAGTGCTAAATGTAAGCATTGGCTAGATAAGCACTGAGTATTAATAGAGATAATAATACCAACCTAGCATCCACGTAGAAGTGATGAAGGACAATATTTCTAAGGCCTACAATTGTGAAGGCCATACAGTGCAACCATGTTAAATTTAGCATCATGTCGTCCAAAATGAAATTTTCTCTACTGCACTGGCTTGCCTGTGTGTGTGCAAGTGTACAAGTGCTCATGGGCAGATGAGACAGAAAAGGAATAAAAACCCATACCTTCCTTCAGAGCAGATAAGGCTTCTTTTTCCTGCATTGAATCAAGAGTATTTCAGAAATTTGAGCTTATGTTATTTCTATTCAAACACCATATTGTACACCATATTGAACAACTTAAAATATACAATTTGACTATCTTTCCCTGCATGTTAATATGTTGAAACGATAAATTAAAATCGTCTCTGTCAATTAATCTTGCTATTCCCACTAGCATTAGCTTATCCCAAAAATGAGTATCTAGAAAAATTTTCATAAAAAATTAAATAGAAAATGTTACATAAGAACTTATAACTCATATGAAGAGAGTATAGCCAGACCTATTAAATAATTAGAGAATATTGTTGATAATTTGAAGTTTTGCCTCCCCAGTATTTTTTTTCTTTTTTAAGAGTATTGTTTCATTTGTGACTTTGGAGTTTGGATTGCCAATCCTTTGAGTTAACATTACCATAACTTGATCCAAAATGCTGGTAAAGCATTCAAGAGTACCCATGATCTAAGACTTCTGAACTATCATATATGAATTTGAACGGAGCATCATGCATCATAAACACAAACTTTTCAACAAGAGACAAGTATAGGTGAACGAAAAAGTAAACGCTTTCCTCCCAATGAAAAATAATAGTACAACTATTACTATAAAAAAGACCCTTACTTGAGCTTCAGCGCGTTGTTTTTTCTCACGCTCAGCTTTCTTTAGCTCCCTTTCTTGTCGCAGGCGTTTATATTTTCTATGATGCTCTTCAATTTTGTGCGCATTAGGTTCAACCTGTGGATTTAATAGTACTATCAGAAAAAATTTATTATATCAGCTCATGATAAACAAAGGCAATTTACCTTTTTCAGCACTGAACCAATCTCATCATCATAATCCAACTTCGATGCCACATGAAGGTCTCTTGCTGCCTGTTCCCATTGGCCCAGCATGGCTCTGGCCATACCTCGTACTTTATATCCTTTTGCAGAGTCTGGATTGATCTAAAGAATATAACTCACCTCTGTAAGTCATCATGTTTGTCCAATGGGATAAATACAATCTCCGACATATAACAACTGATTAATCTAAAATTTTAAAACTTCTGCTGCTGCTTATACAAAATCAGTTGTAAAAGGGACCCAGCCACAGACTTACCACCAGAGCAGCATCAGCATCACGAATTGCAGCATTAGGTTTCTTCAGTTTAACAAAGACACTAGCTGAAAAAAAGCATCTTTGGACGTTAAGAGATCGATAAAGTAACAAGGTAAGTCCAGGCATAAAATGAAAACTAAAATTTGAATTTTGAATTTTGAGTTAGATAACATAACCTTTTTCAAAAATAAAAAGCTACCTCGTGTGGCATACAATATAGCCGAAGTTGGATTCAACATGATGGCTTCTGTTAAATGATCTATGGCTTCATCCAGCTTACCTGGAAAGTAGACAGATTTGGCAAGAAACACTATGGGATAAATCTCAATCAGAAAATCTAATTGCAAAAGCCAAAAGCATACCTTCAGATATTGCATCTATAGCTTTTGATTTTTCGGTTTGAGCAGCATCCCGCTTTTCTTCTGTAACTTCAACTGCAGGGTCCCCCATCTGTAATCACAAAACATGTGTGATTAGCCAACGTATAAAGCATGTTCTGTACCAACTAAATGTACAAGGTTGAACTCAATGAACTCTTTCCATCACCTTTGATGGAGGATCATTATCAGGTCCCACAACATCAGTATTATCCAAGTCAATATCAGACTCGACAATCTCATCATCCTCTTCAATTGGCCTTTTCGAATCAGAGTATTCCCCAGGGTCAGACATGTCAATATCACCTTTCTCCTGCATATGAGTACACTGTTATCAGCACATAACAATTACCATATGAACAAGTAAAAAGAAGATTACCCTTAATGCTATAAACCTTTTTATAAAAAAAATAAATAAATAAAAAGAAAACCAGTTAAGCTCAATAGTCATTATGCATTGATCTTGTGCCAAGCAAGTTATAACTTCATAATCCACTAGGCCAGAGTACAAAACCCAGAAGCACTATTTCTGCCAGTGAAATAAACAGTATAGAAAAAAATACTAGAGAAACGATCATAAGGAAATGTAAAGGCTCCTCATTTTCCCAGTAAATTAGGTATCAAAAAACCAATCTTTAAAGTACTTCAACAATATACAACCACAAGAAATGAAGTTATAGCTCATTTCCAATGACAACAAGATAAGTTCAAATCCAATGAGACAATCACTCATCAACAAATTTGTGCGTTATTTACAAACCCGAAAGCAAAAGCAGGAAAAAAAAAAATCAAAACTTTATAATCAAGAAGTGAAAGTGAGCAAGAAACCATGCCTCACCGATTTTGTCTCTGGAGGAACTCGAGCACCTAGGCTGAAAACCAAACAAAATAAAACACTAACAATTCCTTAAAACAAAACAAAAACATTAAGATGAATAGAAAGATTTTGGTAGGAAATTAATACCTTTGAAGATAAGTTTTGAAGAAAGCAAGAGATGGGGAGTGGAGAATAGAAGGGTCAGTCTTGCACTGATCAATAAAGTGTCTGAGTTGAGTTGTTTTAGCGGCATCCATTTGGAATATATGCCTCTCTTTCTTTTTCTTTTACTTTTTCTCCGATGGAGAATCTAGAAAAGCTAGTGAAGCACTTAGGACCTGGTACTAATCTTGTTTTTGACAAGTTTTCTGTTGAGGGAAACAGCAAATTAATCCTCAAACTATTTCTTCATTTTCAATTTAGGTCTCAATTCACCTAAATGTATTAATGACATCATTACAATTAAATCTCTTAACCCATTCATCCGTCATATAAATTGCAATCATCTCGTGAGATATCACGAAATTACAAGCACCATTGAAAATTTTAGAGTTTCAACAAAATCTCCCTCCATGTTTAAAAAAATAAAAATGCTAGAAAATTCTCTTTTTACGCTCAAAATGTGCCATATTGTTAAGGGTGACAATTTTAAACTTCTGAAAGGTAATTTGGGTATTAAATAAGGTTTATGTGTTTTTTTTAAATCGTAATGGGATTTTTCTTTTTTTTTGAAGTTTTGAATTTTTTTTAATGATATATATATCTACGTAAGTGGACCATATCTCATGTTATTGTTGTTTGAAAAAGACATTATTTATCTTACATATAAAAAAAAGTTGACCATAATATGAGTAACATTTTATATATATCTATTGTATCTGCAATAGGTACTTTGATATATATATATGCACTTGTATAAGACATGAATTGCGATTGACATTTGCATTAGGATTGTTAGAAAGGTTTCAAAACAATCCAAGAATAGAACTTTGAAAAGCTGCTAAAAAAAATCATATGGTATTTACAAGAAACCAAAAATTATAAATTATCTTACGGACATAATAATCATTTTAACATGTTGGTTATTCAGATTCATAGTTTACTGATTGTATAGATATAAAAAAATCTATTTCAAGATATATTTTTCTTCTTGCTAAATGAGTTGTATCTTGAAAAAATATTAAGCAAACGATTGTTGTTTTGTCTACTATGAAAACAGAATTCATTGCCTATTATGAAACAATGACACAAGCTATCCAGTTAAGGAGTTTCATTTCTAATTTAAAAGTTATTAATTCTATATCAAAACCGATAAAGATTTATTGTGACAATGCAAAAAATATAGTTTTTTTCTCTAAGAATTAAAAAAACAAAAAAAAGTGAAAATAAAAACAAACATAAGAACATAAAAGTATCTCATTGTGAGAGAAAAAATGATGGACTATAAGAATATGAATTACTCATTAAACATATTACCACCGAGCTAATGAATGAAGATCTTATGATTAAAGCACTATCGGCAAAATAGCATAGAGATCATGTGGATTTTTTTGAGTTTAGTTAACTCATTTTATGTTTGATTTCATTTTCTTTTCATCTCAAGACATTTTTAAGTTATTTTTAAATATTGATGTGATTCTTGTACACATAAAATATTATTTTTTTAAATTTATTGGGATATATAAAATTCGATTCAAATGACTTATTGAAAATTCATTCATAAAATTTATTTACTTATTAAGTGCTTATTTTGAGTATTCAATATATTATTATACATAAAAGAAAGTGTTTATCTGTAAAACATGACTATTATGATTCGTAAATTGTATTTTCGATCTAAGTATGAATATTTTTATTTATTATCTATTTTGGACTTTATAAAAGAATTGTTGTTTTTGAGATAGTGTCATATATATGTATCAAGAGAAAGATCATAAGAAATAAGAAATATATTTTAGTATGGCTCGTATATTATATTTTGTTTTAAACATATAAATGACAATTAATAGCTTGGAGCCTATTGAATTTTAGTGGTGAGCAGGACAGAATCACCATGAATGGAAGTGTAATGATTAATTTAAAAAATAAAAATCATTAGCCGAACTATATAAATATTAAGTAAAGCATTTACTTTCAATCAAAGAAAAAGGGGAAAGAATCCAGCTATAGCTGTGAGGGTGGAGGCGGGCAAGTAAGCATAAATGGTCACCAGCACCTTTCAAACTGAAGTGCTTCAAGAAACTAGAGATGGAATCCACGTGGGTGTTAACTGGACTTCCACGTAATGCCGTCACTTGCCCCAAAATAAGTGAATCTTAATCAAGGCATGCAGGCGTACGTCGCCAACTTCGCCTGTAGGAAGATAATAGCTCCTGAGGGATCAAATAGGAAACTGCGTTTCTCATCAGCATCTTCTGCATTCTTCATCTGCAACTTAACGAGCAAGATGCTACCAGGAGTAAAATTTTAAATCACAGAAGAAGTTGAAAAAGCGGTCGCTGCACAATCACGGCTTACAACAGTAATAAAATAACAGTTGCAATCATTACATAACACCGAATAATCATATAACACTGAATAACGATAATAAGATACCCTAGAAGCGCTATATAACAACCACACGAAACATAACGACAGTAATAAAATAACAGTTGCAATCATTACATAACACCAAATAATCATTATATAACACTGAATAACGATAATAAGATACCCTAAAACGCTATATAACAACTGCACGAAACATAACGGATGTTATTTAAATCTATAAACAGAAGTATAACAATTTCATCCATATATTCTATAGTCCCATCCGAAATAGACAGGCAGCAAGTGGCTACCCCACGACCAAAAGGTCTTAGTTACTTGGCCATAAATCTAATGGCTGAAATTCGAAATGATCCAAATATCCTTTACATCAGTAGCCCAAAGCTGCTACATATGGAAAGCTAATTAGTCGTAAGATGCTGGTAACAGTCACTGATTACAACATGAAAACTGAATCAAAAGAAAAATTCCTCCTCTACCTCATAGAAGAAAAACTAATAGTTCAAATGTCCTGAACCTGTTCCTCATTAGGAAAAATGATACTAATGAACGTATTGATTGCATAATTAAGAAACCATGATTAGAGGCAATGACATCTTATGAGGAGCATTGCGAACGATAGAACCTTGCAGTTGCTTATTTGGTGGCTTGAAGGAATAAGGAAATGGAAATATAGAAATATCTTCTACTATGAGAAATATTATTTTTACAGCATAATGGAAGCTACTATAAATTATAAGTGGTCTAGAGTGTTGCAGGAATGAAAGATTCCGATCATAAACAAAATTTACCAAATTGCTACTGATAATAACCATATATCTAAAGTAAAGAAAGCTATCACCTTAAAAGAATTGAGCTTACAGTTTAGAACAAAAAATAGATGTTAAGATCACTCTTTCTTGTACAAAGAGTGTTGGTTTCCGTCTCGATCCCTAAGGTCGGACTCCCTTTTTTACTGCTAATTGCTGGCTGGGAGAGGGAAGGAGCTTGAGGTACTCATAGATAAACTCACACCATCACATGCATGGGCACCACTCTCAGGGGACTTCTTGCTTACATTATACGGCGATGTTTGCATAACCCTGCAAACACCCACAGAATATCATTTTAATATGAGAAACTCAAGAGAATTGAAGAAAAATAGGTCCACTATTAGTTAAAATCAGTTTCTCAAGCATATGATTTCTCAATTTATCTGCTCTACAAATATTGCTTGGGTTTTGACGACCTCAAAGGACTGTCTACATATCAGTGGCAAAATTTTGAGTCCATCAAAAGCATTTTCTTTTTCCAATTGTGCTCTGATCAAAACGAGCCTTTAATATCTGGTGGAAACTGAATCAATGATAGTTTACTTGGTAGTAAATTCTTGAAGTTAGCTCTTCTGCTTTTAGGAGTTAATATATTGCAAATCCATCATGAAAACATGTCCTGAGCATCAATACGTTGCAAATAAGTTGGGAGTCCATGTCAAGAATGTTTCTACATACAGTCAAGTTATTGCCACAAATTAAAGACACTTGCTGCATACCTTTCCTTGCGCTTCTCCAGAAACCGAGCCAACGATGCTTTACGAGCCTGAGGTACAGCCCCTGCAAAGAGAGTGGTGATTTCATCAAAAGAGTATCAAATTATGATAAACATACTCGATAATTGCATGAAACAAAGATTTAAGAAGTATGGACAAAGCAAATAATGTCATACCTGCTGGAACCAGAGTGGCAGAAGTAGGTCCTGCTGAACTAACTGGCATGGGGGGCTCTGTTTGTTTAACAGGAGGTGCTAAAGATACTACTGGATTAACTGTGATGGTGCTACTAGAGGTCACAGAAATAGGGCTTGGGATGCCTGAGCATGAAGCTGTAGTGTTGAATTTGTTGCCAGCAAAAATATCACCAACAGGTGGTCTAGGAATTGGTGCCTGTACCGCTTGAGGCGGGGAGATTGGCTTATTCTGAGTTCCAGAAGACCCACCATTTCCAGCTAAAAACATAATGGCCTGTGCCTGAACAGACAGGAAATTATAAATGAAATAAAAAATATTAACAATAATATTCCACCTCCATTGAAAGAAAAGAACTTTAAAGGTTCAGAAGGCACTGAAGCGAATAGATACCTTCTCAGGAGAAACGTCATCATAAACAGACACTGAACCAGCATAAAATATGGTCAACTGAGCAGGTGCACCAGAGGATTTAGCACCATCCCTACAAAACAGATTAAAGTTTAATTTGCCAATTCCAGCCATATGCTCAGGGAATTATTGAATAAAAACAACGTGTACAAAAAAGAAAATAGAGTTTTAGATACCTAAGATCAGTGGTGCCGATGACCGAACTCGGAATGGGAAGAGCAGAAGCAGGGGTTATGACTGGAACTCCTCCAAGAGGTTTTGAGACTATTGGATTAGTGATCATATTGTGTCCAGTGGGAGGAAAATGGGACTGCAGAAAGGGGGAGCTCATTGAAACTGTGATTGTTTGATTTTGTTGGCTGGAGATTGGGAACATCCTCGTATCTTGAGGACGATTAACAGAATACGCATCGAAATGCTGTGTACCATAGGTTGTCATAGGATAATGGTTTCCAGCTTGTTTCTCAAGAGCCACATTTTTCTACAATTTGCAGAAGGAAAGCAATGGTCAAATAATTAGCACAGAGACAAAATAAAAGCATATATTGATCCTGAACAAGGTCAAAACTTTTATTTCATATTCATCTTACTCAATAACTCAAAAGGTGATAAAAATCCATTCTTTTACAACAATATGCAAACAGTATCTCATGGCTGAATTTCAAGATTCTACTCAAGGCTAATTTTCATTTCTTTCCCATGTGAAATAAAACTGTGGCACATAGCTTGACAGGAAATTAGCACAAAAGAACTGCATAGTGAGGGAATAACAAACCTGAACCATGCCAGAGTATGTTTTCTGGTTAGAATCAAAAGCATCAACAGTCGAAATAGACATAAAGCCAAAGGATGATGCTAAGGGATCATGAACAGCCTTTCTTGGTTTATCTTCCAGAGAAGACTTGAATGACAAGAATTGAGGAATGGCAGAAACCTTGTTTGAAAAAGACCACTGCATCCCTGAACCTCTCATGGGTACTGCAACACCAAAGAGAATGGCAATGATGTCCTATTAGTTGTGTCCATGATTGTAATCTCCAATTAAACTTAAGATCTGATCTGATAATTACTAAATAAATAAATGCGTACAGACTATTCCATGTTTAAACTATTTTAAACACTTCAAACCAAGAACCACATAAAAAAAATTCTCAACTACTGTTTGTTGAAGGAGAACAAAAGATTACGTTACTCACCTACACAAAATGGCAAAAAAGAATCTTGATACTTTCAAAGAGAAATCATATGTGGACAAAATTGAAACCAATTATTAAAACTTCAATACAGTACAACTATAGAATCGTGATTAAAAGAAAACCCTATACTAATAATAAAAGTAGACATGCATATGCCAATGCCAAAAGGATACACACATGGATGAACCATATTGATTTTAACTCCAATAATTAAGCAACTAATGGAGATTGTTTAATGTTACCTTTCAAAAAAGAGTGTGAAAGAGAACAATTGATGATCTCACAAGCTTGGATTTATAGTAAAAAACAACAAAGCCTCCAAAATTCTCAAAACCATTGGCTACAACAATTGAGCCTCATGCCCCATGTTACCATTTGAGATTATTTTAATACAGAAGTTGGCTGCACCTGGGCAAGCACTACTTATCAGAATAAGCACATTTTAGAATTATAAAAACCAATAAAATATTTTAATTCCTCCTCACAGGAACATATTTCAATCACATTGTCTCCGTCAGCCACTTCCATTCAAAACATCAAAGCATTTATTTTTTCATTCTTTTTTTATTATTTTTTAAAAGAAAAACTTAAGATGACCATTTATTTTATTACGTTAACAACTCAAGTGCATGTTACCAAAAACATTATCTTTTTCTTATCCCAACACAGCAAACTTGAAAAGTCAAAAAAAAAAAAAAAAAACAGAATATAATAATTATTTTTATAATAATAAAAGAAAAGCCATGTTTCACAATCAAGACCAATTCTCCAACCACAAGCAATACAAAAACACCAATCTAAACTGGCCCACAAGTTATAACCTACAACCCATGTGCACGTTAGCATTCACCACAAGTTAATGGAAGAAAAAAAGATCTTAGGTTAAAAAATTGAACAGTTAACTACTTGTGACTTTATTAGTCCTAGGTTAAAATAAAAAATGGAACAGTTGTCAGTGTTCAAGTCACTTTAATACATAGCAGCCCAGGGTCCCCTTTAAAGTGATTGTACTATATGCTTAACATATTTGTACCGTGTGCACTAAACTTTCCTGTACCATGAACTTTTATTTTTTCTTAGTTTTCACACGAGGTTTCTTCTTGAAGAAAGAAAAAGCATGTGCTTTACCCTCGTTTGGCTCCTAAAACATAAAAAAAAAATGGAGGAAAACAAGCTGGAAAAGAAAAAATTGATTCTAGTTTCCCTTCACATACAATTCAAAAAAAAAAAAAATTACACAAACACAAAACCGATCTCAACATGAAGTTCAAGAGATCAAATAAGGACAAACCAAGAAACAAAAGAGAAGAATTAGGTCAGTAATAGGAAAAATAACACACACGCATATATATCATTTTCTTGGTTTATCAGCAACCAGATAGGGAAAAACACAAGGAACGCCATATATTCACGAAAAAGAAAAAGGAATAGACAGATATTGCTTGTGATTATTTAGGAAAAAAATCAGTGCAAAACAATATGATTTGTTAGAATTGTAATGAAAAAAAACTATACTGATAGAAAGAATTCAATAAAAAGAGACATGAAAGGAAGCTAGAATACCAGAATCCTTAATAGGAGTATCAGTGGCCTCTTCTTTGATAGTAACAGGATTGCTTTTCGAACCCAGACCCAGAAAATCTCTCTCCATCGCCAACTTATAGAAATTTTCTTGAATTCAAACCAAATGATTATTCTCCTAACTAAAAAATCCGAGAAACAACAATGATGCTTGCTTCTATAAGCAGAAAAGGCAGAGAAAGGAAGGAAAGTAAACAGAGAGATAGAGAAAGAGTAACAGATGGGGACACGGCTTGGTGTTTTATGGCAAGTTGGGAGTGTGAGAATAAGATGTTTTTCCTTTTCTTTTTTTAATTATAAACCTGTTTCTTACTTTCATCAATTTTCAAAGCTGTCACCAAATTCTGATGAACTTACAATTCAGTCCTACTTATAGTAAAGTCTTACACTAGTCCTAGGTTATAAATTTTTCACAAGATCTTAAAAAGTATCTCTGCTTGCTTGATACGTGCGATATTGGCAAACCCTTTAAGAATGATCTGATCAGAAGTTGACAAATGACAAATAGATTTTCATTTAAGCCTCACTTGAAGGATTTGCATGGTGTTAATTAGTCACTAAGTTATGCTTAATCACTTTCTGATTTATGGCTCGAGGATATCAATTGTTGATTGAGCATTTGAAGCACTTCATGCCTATTTATTTTGTCTTTTTCTGTTGGTTCTTCTATTAAAGAAATGGAGATAATTGGGTTAGATTAAGATCCATATAACCTTTTCTATAATTAAAAAAAAATTCAATATAACCTTTAATTAGAAGGAACCAAGTCCACAAATAAGTTTTTAAAATATTTTTACCTTTCTAAACCGATCATTCCGATCATATCTTTCTACCTTCATATATTTTATTTATTATTTTATTGTTTTTTCTAATGGTCTTTGTCTTAGATAAAGAGTTTCAATATAAAATATTTTATTATGGTTTCATTCATGGTGCGTCTTGATTAAATTATCATATTCAATATTATTATACTATTATATCTAAATATTATATTATTATACTAAAATTAAATTGTAATTTAATTGAATATATGTTAAGATCACCTTAATTAATTGTTCTAAATCAATCAATTTAATCAACATGACTTTCTAACCATCTAAATATGATCTTAGCATGCAAATTGAATGATACTACATGATTATGATCAAAAACTTTTTTTTACTACTTTAATCGTATAGTTTTTTTAATTATTTTTCATGTATTCAGATATAAATTTTTTTTAATAGTGTTTTGAATGGATTGTTTCTATCATAATTGGTGCATCTACAAAAAAATTGTGTTTTCTTGAGACATCATCTAGGATTTAAAACAAGTATCATGCATATCGGTTAAAGGAAATGGATGATGCATAAAAGCTTTTTTTATTTTTTAAGGGACTAACAAGCCAGATTTGGAGTTTGAGGTTTGAAGTTGTTTAGCCATTTAAAAGTAAGAGACTAATTTGTATTTCTTGTAACTTTATTACTTTCACATGAGATCTAGGCCATTGATTAAAGATTCCTTTCAGAGTAAAGAAATAGTAAGTACTCTAGTTAGATACAGACCGGCTGGCCAAATTAGGGAACCGGGTGCTGCCGGTTAGACACCACGTGCGTAACTAAACTCCGCTAGAGACTGTTCCTTCCTGTGAAAGGCTGATTTGAGTTACACGTGGCTTCGCACGTGAATTTATTTATTTTCTTCTCATTAGTTGTGTGACCTTGAAATATCAATTCCCGAGAAACATTTTTTATATAATTTTTTCAAGAAGATTCTTTTGTTTTCTTTATTATTTTTTTTCCTTCAATAATTTATTTTTAATTTTTGAAAATTAATTAAATAAGTGCTTATATTTTAAATTTTATTTATAGCTTAATTTTTTCTTTCGTTTTTAATTTATTTTGAATATTTATTTTAAGAAATAAAAAATGAAGTATAAAATACGAAGGGATTGGTTCAAAAAAAATTCTAAAATGAAATGAAATAAAATAAAATTAATTATAATTAATACTATAAATGATTAATTAATTAGTTTAAAATAAGAAGTACTATTTAGTTAACTTGTAAGATTAGAGGGACTAGTTTTTAATTTACTCTTCACGAGTGACATGGAGAGATTTTCAAGGAACAATCAGAATACACCACGTGGCTGTTTCGCTAAATTATCCTAGGGTTTCAGTCGATGCGTGGGAAAGCACTTTAGGTAATAAAAATTGTTTTTCTTCGTAGATTTCAAGAAATCTCAGAAGCTAAGTTGTGACAAGGCTTCTTGGCAGGAAGGAAGAGTGAATAAATCATGGAGGTTAAGGCCCCTTCAAATTGAATTATGGAGCATTGATTAAATAATTATGTTGGTGCCGTAACTAAATATTAAATATTATTGATCAGGAAGTATTGATTTATAAATTAGATGTAGTGTGTGATTTTTATAATTTTTATTATTATTTTTTTTTTTGATATCGCATGTGTCCGGATCAACTTATGAGCACCTCGACTAATCATGCGGATCCCGAAGTTAATGACCATTTAAGCCTCCAGTGGCCACCAAGAGGAGTATTCGGGACTCGAACCCGAGCCCACAGGGGGAGCAAACCTCTTGATGCTAAGTCTTTGCCGCTGTGGTTATTTTAAAATTTATTTTCAAAATACTCGAAATAGTATATTAAAGAGTGTCTCTTGATCACCATTAAAAGGGTCAAATGTTTAATATTTAGTTCCAGTATGTTAAAGAGTGTCTCTTGACCACCATTCAGAATTATGAAGCATTGATTAATTAATTTTGTTGGTGTCGTAACTAAATATTAAATATTATTAGTAGCAAATATTGATTTATAAATCAGGTCTAGTGCTTGATTTTTATAACCATTGTTTTTTAAATTTTATTTTCAGAATACTAAAAACGATATGTTAAAGAGTGTCTCTTAACCACCATTAAGAGGGATTAGTCTTGAAGTGGACGAAATCTGATCTGAAGATCCTTTATTGCTGAATAAAAAAAATATTACTAGTATTATTCTAATTTTGTTGAAAGATTATTTCCAAGATCATTTTTTTTTATTTCAATTAGCCTTTTTTGAACAACATTTATATAAAAGCAAAAAAAAAATTATGCTAAAAAAGAAATAGGATTTAAGCAATTATTTCATAAATTAATCATATATGGTATAGTGATAGATAGCAACATACATTAATTCACTTTTTACATCAATTTGTAAGG